GAAATATAATATATATATATATATATATATATATATATATATATATATATATATATATATATATATATATACATAGATACAACTTTAGATTATTCTTATGTTTAAAAAAAAATTAGGTTCTTAATCGCCAGTGCAACGAAGGGATATGAGAGCGATTATTTTGGATATTAGGTTTTGGTTCTACAATTGAAGCATATCAAGGTAAGATAATAAATGGTAGGATTTTCGCTTCGATTATGAACCCAAACATAAACATTATTTTGTTTTGGTTTCGGTTAGAATCGAAACCAAATACCCTTAAAATTAAATAATATTTTTAAAATCAGAAAAGGTATTTAGTTTCCGTTCTATTTATAATTAAAGTCAAATTCCCTTTATATTTGAGTTATATGTATAATTGAAGCCTAATGTGTTTTTTTTAAATATATCTTTTTATAAAATGGTATTTGGCTTCAGTTATAACTTAAATCGAAGTCTAATAAAGATTCAATTTTGATATAATCAAAACCTAGTGTAAACATGTTTTTTTATTTTTTGTTTTTTTTTGTTTCGTCCTATATATTATAACTGCACAAAAAACCCAACACAGAAAACACACAAAATGAAACACCACTTTATATTCATCACAATTATAAATAATTGACGAAGAAAAGGAATCAAACAATTATAAATATATGGACCAAAATATTAAATGATAACCATCCAAGCTTTTTAGTTTTAGTAATTGATTTCCCTGATAACATGTTATGCCATTCAATTAAACTATGAAAAAGAAAGTGTTATAGGATACACTTATATAACAAAGAAAGTTCATAACATTAAGGTTTTTACCAATCTATTACTTGTTTCAGATGATTAGGAGAAAACTTGTCTAAGGAACAAAACCACACAACGTTGTGGTCCTTCATAAAAACCACAAGTAGCTGTTAATGACGCCTAAGTTAAAAATAGTTTTTATTATTATATCTTAAAATGACAAATTACACATTAGTATAAGGGATAAAATATATTTGCTTACTTTATGCAAAATAGTTGGTGTCGTGTGCTTGAATGTCATTAAATTTATTGTCTTCAATAATGAACTAATATAATTTTAATATAAATGATTAAATTATATCAATTTTTGAAAAATTAAAACCTAGTTAGAATAAAAAATTGAAAGACCAATTTAAAATATTTTAACGAAAGAATAAAAAAACATATTTAAACTTAAAAAGAATTAAAACCAATATAAAATATAAATATACTATTTATATGTAAGTTAATTTTCTAATCTATACCAGTCAACTTATCAAGAAAATTATACTTTTAATCATATTTTTTAACTTAAGGTTAAATATGTTTTTATTCCTTAAATTTTAGTGAAAACTGAAATTAGTCTTTCTTTAAAATTTTGTAGCAATTCAGTCTCTCATTTTTTAAACTATGTAAATTTTGTCATTTTAACCAAATTTTGTGAAGTTTATGAGATTTTAAACACATTTATCAACTAATATTGAAGAAAAACGTGTCAAATAATATAAACATTCAAATGTTATCATGAAATACATTTGAAACATCAAATAAGCTTAATAAAATTTAGTTAAAAGAACAAATCCACACATTTCTAATTGAAAGACTAAATTGAATTAAAGTTTGGAGATACTAATTTTAGTTTTCGAATGTCAAGGGACTAAAACCCTTTAACTTATTATCAAATTCAAGTATGATTTTATAATAAATATAATTACAAATAAAAAATATATAAATATTGTTTTTTCTATATATTTACTTTTAAATTATAACAAAGTTAATTGTTTTGTCCTGATGCATGTTTTCTTCAATTTACACATCAAAGACTTATGTTGCTTATATATTATAATTTATAACTATGGTAATGTAATTATAAAATAATAATACTTTTTACAAGTTTTTAAACTTAATATTTACATATAATTAAAAGAAAAATAAGGATGGGAACAGAGAGAGCATGTGTTGGGGTAGGTTGGTTGTTACTTTTGTCGGTGAATATTATTTTTGTTTAGAGTGTGGTGAATTTTGAAATAAAAGGAATAGTAATGAAAAGGGTGGTGGTATAAAACAGAAGGTAACAGGGTTTGGACGTGGATGGTTCAAGCAGGCGACAACCTCGGCTCAGTGTCTCTGTACTGCAAAACCCCAATACCCTTTCTCGCACAATTTCATTTATTTATTTGCTTATCCTTTTTATGAAGATTCACCCTCTGCCCTTTTCATTTCCATAAGAGAATTTCACACACACAGAAACAGAGAGAAAAACTGCTCCTTCCTTTTTGCAGAGGTAGCCATGGAACAAGGAGAAGGAGGAAGCACCAGAAGGAGAGGGAAAGAGGGTGAAGCCACGCGCTACAAAGGAATCAGGATGAGGAAGTGGGGCAAGTGGGTCGCTGAGATTCGAGAACCCAACAAGCGTTCACGGATTTGGCTCGGCTCCTATTCCACGCCCGTCGCGGCGGCGCGTGCTTATGACACCGCTGTCTTCTATCTTCGGGGGCCCTCCGCCCGCCTCAACTTCCCCGACCTTCTCGCCGTTGAGGGCCCTGCAGCCGCTGCCTCTGACATGTCTGCTGCCTCCATCAGGAAGAAGGCCACCGAGGTCGGCGCCAGAGTTGACGCGCTTCACCGCCAGCAACCGCATGTTCCCGTCGCAGGAGAATTTGCCGACCGGGTCGACCTCAATAAGACACCCGAACCTGAAAATTCGGATTGTGACTGGGATGGCGATTAGAAGCTTCTACGTTGTTCTTAGCACTGAGTGTTGGGGTGATTGCTAATGTGCGCCCGAGGAAGTTACAGTGGAGCAAGGTGATGATGATCGTGACATGAGACCCCTTTCTGTTGTGCAACTTGTTGTTTTACTTTTTAATCTGGATTTCACAAAGAAATTTTGGTGCCGTCAAATTTTTAAATGTAAATTACTTGATCATTGCTCTTTTCCTTGTTGCTTTTCACTGCTTAATTTTAAGTTTTGAAGTTTCAGATATACAATTTGGATGACAATTCAAAACTTAAAAAGAAAATTACAAGTTTTTTAAATAATAATTGTGTTTTTTATTTGGAAAAGAAAAGGTTAGATAGGGTGGCAATGGCCTAAGATGCTAAGGAGTAGGGTGGAAAAAGAGAGAGAACCATGTTAACATGTTAACCACTCCAGTAATCATAAGATTATTATAATATAGTGAAAAGTAATAAAATGGAAAGTTTGGTGTTTTTCTGGTTTATGAGTTGTATTTGTAAAGAGAAGGGACCATTGGAGGAAGAAGATGCTGTGGTCACTACTCTGTTTCGATGATAACGATGTGTGATGGATGGGGTCGGTTAATCGGTTCTGTCGTCTCAGATTTTTGTCTATTTCGAGTCAAAATCTCGGATGACAATTGTATCCAACAAATAGAATTGAAAACAAAAATTAATAAAACAACCCTAAGAAAGAGATTCATATCCAATGTGAACCCAAAATTATACTTAGCTCCTTGAGCTTCCAAAAGAAGATTACTGTTTTCTAAGTTAATCACCAAATCTCTTCCAAAGGTTGTATTTATTTGTTTTGTAGAAAAAAAGAACACTTAAAGAAGAAGTAATTTAATAAGAGTTTGATTCCAAAATACTAGATTTGTAAAATATTTTGGCATTGATTTGATACGTTGAATGTGAGGTATTCTGGTTTGCATGTGAGCTGTGTTGCATATTTGGTTTGCCAGGATCAATAAATCTGTTAAGACGCAGACGTGAATTAGTTGATGATGGGAAGATTGGATCATTGATACATGAATCCATGTTTGGTTTGGTTTTGCGTCTCGAAACAAATTCACATTCGGCCAGATGTTACAAATAAAAGATTCTGCATGAGTTGAGAATGTACAATAAGAAAAAGTTAAACATGCAAGTCCAAACCCACTAGTACAAAAGCTAAAACACTAACTTAACTTATATAGTAGATTTGTCAGTGAGTGTATAAACCAATAAGAAGAATTAAATAAAAAAAGAGAGTATGAAAAGAACAGGACCTGTACAAAAGACATGCTTATTTGTGTACCAAATAATGTGGAAACTCAAAAACCAAACCTACAATGTGTGAATCTTTGGTACTTTCTAAAAGCATTTCTATTCGCAACTAAAGATAAAAACAATCTTGCAAAAATGTCCTTCTAACATATCTCAACACAATTTAAAGTGTTCACCACTTTGTTAAATTATTTTTAATCATTTAACAGCTAATCCTTCTCTAATCAAACAAATCCTGTATCTAATCTCATTGTATAACTTTTGTCAGCGAAAAGCATGGCGGCTAAGCAGGTTGAAGATGTATCCTTTATTTATTTTTCTACTTTGAAAAAAAAAGAGCTTTGCTGTGGATTGAACTTGCACTTAAGGTGGTTGACAAAGTAATTTTTATATTGGTGATTAATTTTTTTTAAAAATTTTAATATTGTGCATTGGTGCTTTAAAACGCGGAAAACTATATAAATTAATTAAAGTATTTAAGCTTCTAGAAAGCTTTTCAATTTTTGAGAGATGGTTACAAATCATTCTAGAGATTAGGTGGTAGATCTGTGAAAAAAAATAATAAACTTTTATTTAATTTGACACTTTTTCCTAAGATGTATGTAATGATGAGGTTTTTTTAAATAAGTAGTGGTAGTGTTGACTATAATATACAGAACCCTGAAACTTTGTAATTATGGGAAATTTTCTCATTTTTTTGGTTACTATGTGTTATTAAGTCCTATCTAGAATGTAAAAAAAAATCAATTTAAATGTTTTACTTTGTGATTTTGTAACGAACATACTATTATCAAATATCTTTTTAAAAAATGGGAAGACAAATTTATAAAAAGTTATTATTATTTATATAGCGGAAAAGATAATACAATTTTTTTTATTATACTCAATAATTAAAAGATTCCCATATGCATAAATAAATAATATACATTTTGGTAATCTAACAAATTTATTATAAAATTGTTGTATCTATTTAATCAAATATAAATATGTAGTAATTACAATACAATATAATTAATTGACTATATATAAAATAAGATATATATAGTTGATTTTTTTTTAGGTAAAAGGAAGGAGACTCTAGAAAATGTAAGTAGACGCATTTTAATCTGTCAATGTGAAATCAAGACTTTTTTATTAGACTTTGACTTATTACATCCATTTTTGGTTATTTTTTCAATCAAAGAACATCCCTAGCCACAATTACAATTATTACCAAAATGATGTGAAAGCAGTATTTCATAGATCTAGATTTAATCTTCATATAAGTCAACAATCATATTTGTTCACGTTAATTTGTGAAAAAAAAACAAGAAGGAATGAATAGCAATGGAGTCAAATGTTTTTCAGTGCACTTGGCCTCTGTCACTGTTGAATAAATAATAAAAAACATAGAAATGCATTCTTCCGATGTTAAAAATAAAAAACGAGTATTACTGTAGCTGGTTTCAATGTTCTAGGGGGTCAGCTAGGGGTGCAACATTCAAATCCAGCACATGTCATTTTAAAAACAAACATTATTAGTGAAAAAAAGGACCTTCCACAGTGTCAATATCTGTGGTTTTGGCAATTCAAACATTCCACCAGAAAGAATCATTATTTCAAACATTCCACAAGGAAAGAATTAGATATAGGTTTTAATCTTCTCTAGAACCGATTAATCCTCAATACAATATAGTATACAATTTAAGATCATCAAACACTCTATGTGGCAGTTAGTAGATTTGATGACAACGTCTCTTCATGATATGTAATCATAATTGATAAGTTTGACAATAACAGTTGGCCCATTTATTTTTATATTGGTTAAACATATAGAGTGAGAATGAGTGGTACGCAGTTGAATGGATAATGATCGAGAAATCCCTTAGGTAATTTTTTATACACGGTTTTATGTTTCAACAGAAGGAAATAGTCTTAGTTGGGTTCAGGGTTTGAGACAACACTAGGTTGATGAAGATTCCGAAGTATATCTGTGTGTACATAAAGGCAATTAATTTATGGATGTGGGAATTTCCATGAAACAGTTGGAAGTGGGGCCTCGACTCACTACTTATCATGTGACGGAAACAGACTAAAAATCAAGATTTTTTTCTTAAAACTTTTATACAAATATGTGAGCAATAAACGGAAATTAGATCCATCCATTATTAGCCAATTTAGTCTCATAAACTACCCATGACAAGTCATGAGGTGTTAGTCTTATTTTTTTTTTGTATATCAGAAATTAAATAACCGTGTGGGCTCAGAGGGATAATTTATTACTAATTTTATACATACCTCATTGGTGGTTTCAATGGTATTCAAATATCGAGCGTTTTTGATCTGGGTTGCATATGTAGACACTGCATGCAAGAATTACGATTAATCTAGTTTTGGGTTCTGTCTGTTCATTTTCTGATCTTTCATTGTGATGCTTAGTTGACTGCGCCTTAGGACGGGGGAGCAAGCTCTTCCTATTGTGATAATCTCAACCCTTCAACTCAGAAGATCAGTCCGAGGGGGAGGGGGGCGGGAAGGGTGCACGGGAGCCAGCTTAACCCACAGCATTTACAACTTGTAAAATGCGCCACAACTTTGTTGGCAAGCAATCACTATATATTTAAAAGCATCATATTTTTTAAGAGAAAAAGAAGAGTTGAAAGAGGAAGGGCTCAGTGATATAATGATGCAATTGCAAACAATGATAAAACAAAAATATTTGAAGAACTAACTGCATCTTTCAGATTGTGGAGGTCTCCCTTGAACAAGCCATCGATGTGGGTGCTCATTGAATTTGCCAATCAAATATCCGTGTAAGTCGTTTGTTCAGAAGTGTTCTGAACCTGTTTGAAAGTCTGCAAGACTTCATAGAGTTAATGACTTCCATATCCAGTTTACTGCAGCTGTTATCATCAATCAAAGATGGAGACTTTATTAATTTACAATGTTTTCAAAAGGGAAATTATTAGACATGCTCTATGGTCTCAGTAATTACTTCAACAAGCTGACATCAGTTTTATTTAGAATCCCAACAACCTCATCTCAGAGGTAGGCTAACAGTAAAAAAAACAAATGGGTATGAGAAAAAAAAGTAGAACATAAATGTATCTTCAAAACTTTAATAACTAGATAAGTCACACACACATGCACAAATATATGTTGTCCACTTTTTCTCCTTAACATAAACTTTTCTTTCACTTTAACGAATTTTAGCTAAATATTTTTCAGGGGTCTCACCCTGATTATGTGACAAACATGGAATGTAGACCAGTTGCAAAGCTTGTCAGATAATTCATTTTACTTTTGGGTGAATGAAATAGAATTGGCAATTACCATGTTTTGTATTTGAAATTGCTTTGAATGCAGGTATAGAATAGAGTTATACATTAACTTCTAGGTCTCAGTAAAAAATCAGTTATGAAATTTAACTTCAGTAATTTAAGTCCTAAAATGTACTAACACATACTCTTGTTTACCGGAATAACATCAGAGTCCAGAAATATGATATGAACTAAAGCAAGAATGGTTTGAGTAAAATCAGTGAGTTTATTTATCAGCTGATGTATTTTTTACATATCCCAAAAGATGAGAAGAGTGCAGAACAAGTAATACCAACAACCTGATTCATAATCCCTTAGCCTAGGTACACCCAAAGAGCAGCTTCCTAAAAGTTGTACAACAAAATAATAATCAACTATTTTAACACTTTCCCTCCAACTTGAGCATATAATTGTATATACCAAGTTTGAAACCAATAAATTAAATTCTAGACTCCTTAAAGGCTTGATTACAGTGTCTGCAAGCCATTAGAGCTAATAAATCCAGTACTAATTTCCTTCAACAGTAGTTTCTTCTTGATAAAATGACAATTGATCTTTATGTATTTGATTCTTTCATTAAAGAGCAAATTGGAGGCAATATGAAGGGTTATATAATTATCACATAACAAATTCATCTGCTTAAACTT